GGAGGAAGGAATGGTTGATGGACGTTTGATGAGACGACTGTAAACTTCTGCATAGGGGTTATTTGGGGCCCTGATCATGAATATGACACTCATTTTTCACATTCGTGCTGTTTAACGCATACTTTCTGCTTTACTAAGCTTTCTCACCTACAGCGCCTACGACTAAGCTTAGGGGAGGGGAGTGAAACTCCGGAGTGGGTAAACCACGCACCGTGTGGCAAAAGTTGGAGTGTGTCACCACAGGGGAATGGCCTACCCACTTTGGAGCCCTACACTACTCAAAGGCTTAGTCCTATTGCGATCTAATTAGTGCGAGGGCGCAGACGAGCAGGATGCAGGCGCCGAATAGCGCTAAGAACAAATCAGGACCCCGAATAACCCCTATACAAAAGTTTAAAACGAATTTAGTGGCCCAAATGGCGCCAGCGTCCAAAATGAGTATCATATCCGTAATGAGGACAGAAGCGTTCCGTAAAAGATGTTATACCCTTATGCAGATGTCTATACAACAATATGAACCCACAAAATGCAAGCACAAGCGACACTATTAAACCCTCGTTCACCGATAATTCGTAAAACACCATTTTAGTGGCATCGCCCGGAATCGTGTAAGTCACAAAACGTTTTCAATAATGAGACAGAATTAGTGATTCACCGCATTTATCAATACAATGGGTGTGAGCGCGGGCAAGTAAGGAATCAGAAACTTACAAATTCACGCATGCAAAAAAGCTGCTCCAATCGCGCGTTCTTCCATACCGTAGTTGTTTTCGCTGCGGGTGCGCCAGCCTGCCGCGCGATGTCGCGTTGCGAAGAGCGAAAAAGTCGCGTTCTGTCCTAAGTACCCACACCCCACATTTTTCAATTCACATCTCATAAAATTTTCCATCAGGGAAAAGTGCAGCTGGTGCCTCATATAGTAAATCGCGGTTTGATTATTGACTGCAATGCTGCGAATGTAACGAGGAAGGTCAAAAAAGATAACGAAAGAAATACTACTCAGTAATTGACAAAGCGCTGGCACTAAACAACGATCTTGTGCGGGCTCCATAGCCCGCCCCACACGAAATTAGGTACAGCAGCAACAAGACTTGCTGAGCGACTCTGCGAGTCCGCCAAAGTGATTTGGATTGACTGGTTCCTCATATACTCAGTGAATGAGGGTGGCTCAAATGGCGAAATAGCACAACCTACTCGCGTAGCATTAGTCGTGCAACTTTGGAGGGACCCTTTCAATTAACTAGTCATAGTTCCACATAAATATGACCAAATCAACCCACAACCAGTACTTTAGGATAATTCGTGGTGACGAGATTCCACCTAGACGCCTACTATCGTAAGTGCGCCGTAAGCAAATTGTTGATTTGCTGGCGGTCCCAGCTGACACACACCAATTTTTGATGGTAAATAACTACGAGAAAAGACAGCACAGGTGTTGTCCAAACACATCACTGGAAGCTAGCCAGCAGAGAATTATTCGTATGGAATGAGCTTTTGCAAAATACCTCTTTTGGCCGAAAGGTATCAGCGTTCTCGAATACTTGTATTCCACGGCTATTTATAGACAGAAGGCAGGCAGAACCGTCACTTTCACTGACTCGGTACAGCCGACTGCCGTATTTCAAACATTTCTCCACAATTTGCATCACCCTACAACGAAAATCTTAGACGATAGTCACATCAAAAGGCAACCTTCATTTGGACTTTGGCAATAATGTAGAAAATATGTAAAAATTACTATTAATAGAAATAACATTTTAATAAAAATACAGAATCTGGTTATAAATTATTTGTTATAAGAGGTACTGAATATGGAGAATAGAAAAATTGAAATAAAAGAAATCCTGATAGTATAAATTTCATTGGAAAATCATAGGTGAGAGCGAGATCATAAAAAAAGAAGAAGACTGAAAACACTCACGAAATTATGGCAGACCCGCGTTGCATACCACGTAAACTACTATACTCTGCTAGCACTTGTTTCTCAAACGAACTCTGATTAACACCATACTGCCTCGTTAGCCGTGGCGGAAAAGGAAGGAAAGACCGTAAATGGCTTATCAACGAGTTATCACTGCAAATATCATAACTTAGATACAAGTCACATACTGGATGGGCTCGCCTAATTAAAGGCACAAGGAATAAATGTGATGCAAATTTGGTGTTCAGCAGCAAAAAACAGGAAGTGTGATCCGCTGTTGCGCCCCTGCATCACATTCAAAGAAACATCCAAATAAATCCGATGAAAAACCCACTCAACGAAATCACCGCGGTAGATTTGAAGTAATAAACCACCAACACGGACGTAATCAATGTTAGATAAATCTAGCTGACCCTAAATGAGTTTGTCATTACACTGAAGGTCACATCAAAAAGGATATTCCATTACCTTCCGTAATTGCTGATGCGCTTCGAGGAAAAACATTTCAATTGTGGCGGGGTTTTCCAGACACAGAATGGAGTCGACAAAAAATCTGGAACAGTGATTTACTGAGTTACATAATCTACACGTTTATATCAACATTCTTATCTTCTGTGAGACGTTCCAGTGCTATCAGTATGAATCATGTTTTTAAATATAAGCCATAAATATAATTATCGCTAGTATTTCAGCTTAAAGCAAATCAATAATCGATTTTTTTACAAAAAACAAAACATGAAGAATAACCAATAGCCTAACTGACATTAATTTGTTCCCGCTAGAGAAATGAGCTGCTTTGATATAAA